TAGAATGAGCTGCTGCCAGCAGGCCTGAGGCAGAAGGATCAGACCACCAAGGCACCCACAGGTCCCTTTAAAAGGGAGGAGCTCTTGGATCACTTGGAAAAGCAAGCCAAGGAGTTTAAGGACCGAGAGGATCTGGTCCCCTACACAGGGGAAAAACGAGGTACCGTACCACACTGCTTTTGTTCATCCATGCAGTAAGGCCTGAAAAAGCTGAGCCCGGGCCAGGCGGAAACGGGTCAGAGAAGGCAAACGGAACTGAGCTACTTTCTGAGTAGTGGTTACACGTTGGGATGTGATCCACAAGGTCAGCAGTTCAAAACCACCAGCTGCTCCACGGGAGAAAGATGGGGCTTTCTACTCCCGTAAAGAGTCACCGTCTCAGAAACTCACAGGGGCAATGCTAGTCTGCCCTGTAGGGTCACTGTGAGTCAGCCCCGACTTGATGACAATAAGTTTGAGTTTGAGGAAGATGGTCAGAGGGCCTGTCAGGGTGGAGCGCAGCAAGCCCTGGGGAAACCAGGTGGCTCTGCCTTGAGTTCCGGCTGCTGCAGGTTTCACTGCGTGCTAGTCCTTGTGCATCCATTGAGCACCAACTGTGTGCCAGGCCCTGGGTTGGGCCAGATGTGACTGGACCCCCTAGCCTTCACCCCTGCCTGGCCCAAACATCCCCCAGTCCCAACTCTGAAGGCACCGGTGCATGGTACCCACTTAGTGTAGATTTGGGGGGACTTGAGGAGAGATACTGGTACGTATTCATCCAGATCAGCAGCGGAAAGTCACCATCTCCCATGAGGAGGAGGCTGCACTCTCCTGTGCAGACCTGGACTGCTTAGAGAGTGTAAGAGGTTGTGACTCACTATGATCAGGCCATGAGGCCTAAATAAACTCTCATGCAAGCCAGGGGTAAAATGTGCCCTAGCTGCCTCCACCCACCCTGTCCCTGATTTCTCTCCACCAGTCCCTTTCTCTCCCCGCCTCTCACATCCCTCTGCCATCCCAAGGCAAGCCACTGGGAAGGGCCCAGGGGGACGTGCTTGCTGCTCACAGGACTACCTTCTGGCCCCAAGCACCCCCAGCTGTCTTCTGCTGCAAGACCTTCCCTCTAGGGGTGCTAGCCCCGTCTCCCAGCCTGAGCACGGGGCTTCCTGGCTGCTTCTCTCTCCCTTTGGGAGGCGGGTGGTTAGCTTCTGATCCCAGGGGTGCTCACAGCTGCTGCACCTCCATGAGGTGGAGGTGATGAGAATGCTTTCACCAGCCCTCCCAGAGGGCTGATCAGGCACTCGACGGCTAACGGAAAGGCCTGCGGTGGGGAACCACCAGGAGGTCGTTCTGAGATTAAATGAGCTAAAATAGAAATAAAGCACTTGGGACAATTCTCAAACTCATGCTACCAAGTCCATGACCCTCCCCCCAAACTCAGACTCACCGCCATCGAGTTGCGGCCGGCTCACAGCGACCCTACGGGACAGAGTAAAACTGTCCCTGTGAGCTTCCAACACCGATGCTCTTGATGGGAGTGGAAAGCCCGGTCTTTCTCCCACGGAGCGGCTGGTGGTTCGCGCTGCTGGCCTCGCAGTTCACAGCCTGATGCATAACCACTCTGACACCAGGGATCCCGCAGGGACCCTCTAGAGAGAGTAAATCTGCCTACAGGTGGCTTTCTGGGAGTGTAACATTTTACAGGAGTAGAAAGCATCATCCTCCTCCCGAGGAGCAGCTGAGGGTTTCGAACTGCTGACCTTATCGTGAGCAGCCCAAATGCATAACTCACTACAACCCAAGCAGTTTGAAACCACCAGCCACTCCTCGGGAGGAAGATCCGGCTTTCTACTCCAGTAAAGACTGAGAGTCTCAGAAACCCACCGGGGCAGCTCTGCCCTGCCCTATGGGAATGGGCCCCATGGCAGTGCGTTTGGTTTGGGGTTGTTGAGGACGGTGCGGTGTCTGGCAGGTAGTAAGTGCTGTGCAAGCATTCACTGTCCTCCTGGGGATCTTAACTCTGTTGTCTTCTCTTTCAAAGAAAACCGTCCGTCTATTGTTTAGGGTCCACCTTCCCCTTCGACTCCCCTTCCGGTGTTCTCTGTCGCAGGAGTGACACACTGTGTGTACTTCATACCAGCTCACGTTTCATCACCATCTTTCTGTGTCTCTGCCCCACTCAGGAGCCCATCAGCTCCTGGAGGGGCGGGGCTTGGGCTGCGTTTGCCTACAGGGCCTGGCACACAGTCAGGCTCCACAGAGGCTTGTTGAGGAATGAATGAGCTAAAACGAATGAACCTTGTAGGTTTGTGTAGAATGAACCTTATAGTCCTCTTCCCGAGATCATGAAGACCACCGTTCTTGAGTCTAGTGATGGGCCGCTAATAGAGTCCTAGCACATAGTAGGTGCGCACTCCCTGGGTGGAATTAATTCCCCAGATCGTCTGTTTAGTTTTCTTCTGTCTCCTCCGGCCTGTTTGTTGTCCTGTCTCGTCTGTGTCCCTGTCCCTGTGTTAGCGCAACACCCTGCACCATGAATAATGAATGGACCGAGGCAGCAAGGGCAGATGTGGGAAGACTTGACCATCCAAACCCTGGAACTGGAGCTCGGTCCAGGTTTCGCCTAAAACATGGACAGCCCGGCACGCCCAAGGGACCCTGCACTAAAGAAGTGTGGCGGGACTATGTGGCGGACAGAGGCATCCTGAAGGGGGTGACAGGGCCCGGTGGTGCTGGGTGTGGAGAGCAGTAGGCTGGTCAGCCTGCGAGCAAGGTCACCCGAGAGCTGAGCCTCAGGCCGGGGTTCTGCATAGCTAATAGAGATAGAAGACTCCCTTATGGGAGATGGTATTGCCAGGGGTCTGTACACAGCTGCTCCAGCACCCAGGGCTGCATCGGGGTAGGTCAATGCGGCTTCTCCTCAGGGATATCTTGCAGGAAGTGAGCCTTGCCAGCTGAAGCAGAGAACTGGCTAAGGCAGCTGCACCCTGGTCCG